TCTTCCTCCTTCCTCCACAGTCCATCTCTCCCCCTTCAGCTTAACCTACCTAAAAATAGTCTCTGGACTCCTATAGTTACAAGAGAGTAAGTACCACGCAACTCGCCGCCCCAGATAGCGACCATTCCCTCCCTTTTGATCACAAAGCCACTCAAAAGCGTGATTGGCGGGCTGTCTTCACTTCTCACTCCACCCACCCCTCACTCCCTCAGGGTCTGACATCTGTCACCAGCACTCTACAGAATACATGCTTTTGGAAATCACCAGCGGCCTCCTCCTTGGCGAATTGTCCCCGCCCTCCTTCTTGTGACCTCTCCAACATGGCCCTGGTGACCCTCAGAGCCTCCTCCTCCAGAGGCATCACTCGATGAGCCCTACAGCCCCTGCCAGTGCTCTCTGCGCCCTCCACTTCCCCTCATGACCACCAAGTCCTTTTCTTCCCAAACCCGAAGCTTCACCCTTCGCTGCTCTGAGGTCCCCTCTACTCTTGTAAGCTCCAACTCCTGGTGTTTACCGTGATAGGTAAAGCATGGGCTATCACGACGTAGAGGTTACATTGACACCTCAGACTCAGTCTATCTGCTACCAGTCTTCATCTGGCACCACGCTGGCTCTGCCTCCTGACTCCCACCGTTTCTACCCCTGGACCCGCAGTCTTCTTGGAAGCCTTCCTTCCCTTGACTCCCCACATCCAATCAGTCTGTAAGTGTCTTGGCTCCACTCCCAGAGACCTTAGTAACTATTGTTTCTTTTTCATTCCCATGGGCAGCCTCCCATCACCTAGGTTATCTAACAAAGTCCTAGCCTCTCTCTCATCCCACGCTCCTGTTTTCCACGTTTCCTGTCCGGCCTCGCCAGGTGCCTGTTCTGACCTACAACTCTGACCACATCGCACGCCCTGACTGAGGCACAGGGAGGACTTCTCATAGCGCCCTAGGTAAGCCCGCGCTCCGTCTACTACCCGAAGCCTGCAGAGGCGGTCAATCTTTCTTGACTCTTTTCAAAGCGTTGATGTGCTCTTATCTGCTCGCCATCCATCAACTATTTCCTGTGCTTTCCGCTCTTCGCCTGACTGTTCACTAGGGACCTGAGTGACCCTGCCCACTTTCAAAATCAGACCCCTATGTCAAGGCTTCGTTTAAAACCCACACTCAATCTTTAACCCCTCCCCCCTTCACCCTCACGGCACTTTCTACATACTTCCAGTTCTTTCCTCCCCTACTAAACATTTGACTCCTTAAAGATAATATCTGGCTTCCGGTATGCGCTGATATCTCTATCTCTAGTGATATCTGAGATCGGTCCAGTCACGGAATCAGAAGCATACGATAACTCCACTGGACTCATCAACTCTTGACTCTCCTTTCTTTCGCTTGTCGTATTGCACTGACGAGGACAGCTGACACACCACTGAATACTAGGGGTGGTAACAGGCCCCTTATCTCGTCCCTGACCACAATGGAAAGTCTTCTCGTGGTTTGCAAGAAAGTGTGATGTGTGCTACATGTTTCTGACACCTACCTTCATCAAGTCAAAACAAACAAAAATGACTCATTTTCTGAGCTCTGCGCTGAAATTAGACTTACCAGGCAGTGGGGTCAAGTGGAATGAACCAAGGACAGAGTACTGAGGCGTGGAGGGCAGCCAAGGAAAACACGGGAGAAAGCCAGGAGGAACCAAGTCAAGGTCTTCCCTCAGCTCCCAACTCCCTGGCTTCCTCATGTGAAGCTTCTCGCAGCAGAAGGTAGAAGGAGCAGAAAGAGGAGGGGCTACAGTCCGTCCTCAGGGGCTCCCAGGCGTTACTACTCCCAGTGTCCTTCTCTCCTTTCACTACCTAAATCACCACTGAAAATCTCCTGAAGGGCTATAAGGAAGTTGTTTAAGTAGAAACTACGGACAAAAGAAATCCTGTTGATGACTAGCCCTTGGTGGGAGGGGGGAAGAATGTGACTTCCTCTCCTCATCTCTTCCCTGGCTGAGTCATTCACGGCTCATGGAGGACATGGTAGCAGGGCTGGGGGCTGGGAACAGCGTCAGCACCATATCACTGCCTCTGACTTCTTGCCGAGAAGGCAAGCGAATATGGAGGTTGAGGGTCAAGACCTTGAGAGTTGATGAGAAAAACGACTGAGGAGAGATCCATTACGTGGACAGCCTCCCAGGGCCCGTGAGGGCTATGGCTCCCTCTTGAGCAAACTTTCAAATGCTCAAACTCACTGCCATCGAGTTGATGCCAACCCCTAGCGACCCTAGAAGGCAGGGTAGAACTGCCCCTAGGAGTTTCTGAGACGGCAACTCTTTATTGGAGGAGAAAGCCCTGCCTTTCTCCCAAGGAGTGTCTGGTGGTTTCGAACTGCTGACCTTGAAGTTAGCAGCCCAATGCATAATCACTATGCTACCAAGGGTCATTTGAGGAAGAATCTCATTAAGGGGAAGGAATACCTCCTGCTTCTCTAAAGAGAAGTCTACGGATCCTGCCCACCAGTCAACTAGAGTGGTCACTACACATCAAACCACAACGCCAAATACTGGGGACAGAATTCAATCCCCCAGGAAATTCCGTAGCTTTATTCTACCACCACCACCACCCCGAAAAAGGAAACTAAAGTAAGTAGGAGGGATGGGCCTCTGTTGACAATGCATCCAAGAGGGTCATTATCCCAGAGGTCTAGATGTGGGACAGAGTGCCATCTGGAGTGTCCCAAAGAGCAAGTCACCTTCGCAGTAGAGCAAGGAATCCTCTGCTTTGATTTTTAGGTAAAGGTAATGGTAGGTTAGCCTTTCAGGGGATGTAGCCCCAACTGCCAATTTCTGTGGTGTAAACACTACCATGATGGCCAATTCCAAGATATAGTTTAACTGGCTCCCTACAATCCTGAATATCCAACAATTGCCTCTTGTAAGTCTATATGAGCTGGCTCCAGTACTACAATGGACCAGGTATACCCATTTGGTGTTCCATACACACCCAAAGGTAGGGGAGAGTGGAGGTAAGATAAAGGCTCCTACTGAGCACCATGTGTGCCTAGGTTTGTCCCAGACTATGGGATGGGGACTGTGAGACATGAGGCAGTCCATTACACTGACCTATGAACTACCTTACTCCCAACAGAGAATTGCTCACCCCCTTCCTGCCAAAGAAGCAGGGGCCACCACTGTAAGGTGACTGTTAGTACCGGGAGGCCAGAACTGCCTTCTCCTGAAGATCCCCAGTCCTTCCTTTCTGTTCAACATGGGGCGAGTCCCTTGTCTTCCTCAGGGATGGAAAGGGGCCGTCTGTCCTCCCCCTTGGAACCTTCACAAACCACAATGAAGCTCTAACTTCTCTGCAGTCCCCTCCTCCGGCCGAACGCTCGATCCCAGGCCAGATCAAAGAGCAGGGCAGGCCTCCTGGGCTGGCCCACATCTGACTCCTAGATGGAGCGGCTATGTGCTGCTCTCTCTTCCTTCTATCGTGTGACTCCCTAGAGGTGGGTCCAAGGAACATGGGTTCTGGGCAGAGGCCCTGGGCCACAAGCATCCTGGGGAAGGACCTTCGAGGCTCTGTGAGGGTACTGCTGGCCTGAGGTGGGGGCCGGAGTCCAATCTGCCTGGAGGCAGGGAATTGGGCAGGCTCATTCCATGGGAGCGCCCGGGCCCCAGTGGCTCTGGACAATGCCCATTGCACAGAAGGTGAAGCTGGGCAGTAAATCAGGGTGTTTGCCCAACGGCCCACCATGACCTCCTAGGGAACCAGGCGCTTCAGGACAGGCCTCAGCGTCCCCTCAGAGCTCTCGGCACAAGAGCCTGCGGAGAAGGAGTTACAAGTGTCCACTCTGCTCCGTTCTGAAGCACAGGTGAAGGGCGTCCCTGCCCTACACCCAGGGCCTGGACCCAGCCCAAGTCAGCTGCTTCCCCAAACCCACCATCTATCCCCAGGGAGGGTGCCTCCTTCCCTCCCTGCAGCTGCCCGTGACTCGGTTTCCCCTGAATTTAGGAGGGGTGGAGGGCAGAGCCAGCTGCTCAGGCTCCTCTTCTGCTCCCCGAATGGAGGGTAGCCCCACACCACCTAGCCCCGTACTCAGACTCCACCCCTGCCTGGTTTCCCCGCTACCACAGAGTCAACCCAAAGGACCGCCCACCCCTTTCGCGTGCCCCGTGGACCGGCCATGGGCTAGTAGGGGAGAAAGGACCCACTTCCATCCCGCCCGACATGGTCCTGGGTGCTCAGCTCGGCTGGGGACTTTCTTGCTTTCCCTCTCCATAAGTTCAACTGTTCGCCCCTCTCTCCAGGGAGAAGTGCCCAACCGACAGGGACAGGGAGCCTTGTTCCCCACAACCTGCTTCCCACCCACACAGGTCAGCCCTACCACCAGGACCCGCACTCAGAAATACAGAGATGCCCAGAAAGACCCTCCCAGGGCTGAACACTCAGAGGCAAAGGAGCTTGTCTCCAGCTCCTTGGGGGCCAGGAGGGAAGGAGGAAGGAGTATCTGTAGAGGCCTCCCTCAGCTCCTCCCTGTTCCTCCCCCACAGACCTCCCATGTAGAGACGGAGCTCTGAGGTCAGTCACTGGGTGCCTCTCCTTTCTGCCCAGAACAGCCACATGACACTGCAGCCCCACAAACCCCACCTCCAGGAAGCTCTCCTTGACTGGCCAAGGTGGCAGGCCTTGCTGCCCCCGGGGTTCTGAGCCCTTGGTGCCCATCCCCATTGCAGCACACACTGTCTTCTGGGAGGATGTCCTATCTATGTACTGTGTACTGTACTGGGAGGATGTCCTGTCCCCTCCCTAGACAGTAAGCTCCTTGAAGGTAGAAGCTGAGAGACAGTCATCTCTGTATCTCAGGGCCCAACCTAGCACCCAGCAGGCAGGAATGCAGGAAGGTGTGGCTGGCACAGGGTCTCTGACCAGCCTAAAGCAGCACCAACCGAAGGTGACCAGTCAAGGCCACAGTGGGGAGGGCAGAGGTGGGAAGGAGGGGATAAAACACGCAGGATCAATGGTCCCAGGCTCTTACCTGCTATCCGGTGGGCCACCAGCCCTTCCAGATTCAACGGCTCTTCGTCTGGAGTTCGGGATGGGTCTGAAGCCCCCTCCTTTGGTGGGAGCTGAGGCTGCGAGGTGAGGCCCGGAAGAGAGGCTGGGGGCTGCTGGGGCCCTGGGGGGCTATGGGCATTTGGGAGAAAGGCAGACGAGGAGGTGGAGGAGACTGGGCTCTTCGGACGGAAACTCTGACTGGGCTGGTAGTCATAAGGCGAGAATGCCCTACCCAGCGGGATGGGCTCCAGGATGGCCCTAGGGGCCAGCTCAGTAGTGCCCAGGGAGTGCCCGCTGGGGATGTAGCCCGATCTGGACTGGGTCAACGGCTGGGACTGGCGGGCGGCTCCAGAGTACGGCTGGGAGGAGAGTGGGGCAGCCCCGGGCCAGGCCCCTGGGACACTCTGAGACTTGTGGAGAGGGGCAGCGGCCGAGACTGGCTCCAGCTCCAGCATCAGCATGTTGAGGCCTTCGATGGACTGTTCAATCTCCTGCTGAGACGCTGCCCTCAGGGGGAACTCAGGGAGGCTGGGGGTGGGGGTCTCAGTCAAAGAATGAAGGCCGGGCCTGCTGGGCCCCACACTTTCCAAGTGGGCTCTCTCCTGCTGGCAGGGAGGGGGATGAGGCTGCTGCTGCTGCTGCTGCTGCCAGGAATTCAGCCCCCTCTGGACTGCCTCCCGGCTGCTTCCACTGCGGGCTGGAGCTGGGGGCAGCGGGGACTCGTTTTCGGGAAAGGACTGTGAGCGGAACATACTGCTGGGGTTCTGGCCATAGTGGGAGGTGGTCACCGGCTGAGGCCAGGAGGGGTGGGGCCCCTCCTGCTGGTGCCTGGCTAAACCCTCCTGGGCGGAGTAGGAGGGCCACATGGGGGCATGAGGGCCAGCATGGGCAGGGACCACTCGGCTAGCTGACTCGTAGAGGTAGCCCCCACCATTGACCATGGGCTCCATGGGGTAGGACTTGTCTAGACCATTGGTCAGTGAGGACAGGGTGTCAGGGTAGCCTCCCTCACTGATGTTGGTGACCCCATCCAGGGAGGACAGCGTGCCCATGCTGCCCACACTGTGCCCGTCCTGGTTGGGCAGCTCATCATCCAGGATGTCCGTCTCCCGCTCAGATGCCAAGGCCCCGCCATTGACATGCACCTGGGCTGGGACAACATGGCGGCCAGTGGAGGGCGCGGCAGGGCCCCCAGCCTGTCGGGCCCTGAAGTGCTGGCCGTGGGACATGGGGCCTGGCTTCTCGCGCTCTAAGCCAAAGCCACTGAGCAGGCGGTCTAGCTCCTGCTTCTCCTCAGGGCTCAGGGCAGCTGGGACGCTGGCGGGGCCGGGGGCCGGCTCATCGGTCTTGTCTGTCTTGGTGGAGGCGGTGGAGTTGCCCGAGTCGCTGCTCACAGAGAGCGTGTGCTCCACGTGGTTGGGGGTGGCCGAGAGGGTGGGGCGCGCGGTGCTGATGGCCCCAGTGCTGCCGTGCGGGGAGTCCTTCTTCTTCACCTTGGCGTAGAGACTGCCGTCCAGTGGGCCCTGGGTGTGTCCCACCACCTCTGCAAGAGAGAAGGTCAGGGCGACAGAGACGTCAGTAGGGGCGCAGGCCCCTTCTGTTCTCCTGAGAATGGTGCTAAGAGCAGGGCCACCCTTCCCAGGGGCTGAGCGGGGAGAGGGAGAGACTAAAGGGACCCCCACCCCAGGCTTTCAGGCAAAGCCTAGGACTGGGCAGGGAAGCAATGTGGCCAGTTCACAGCCTGGCTCTAAGCTTGGACTAGCTACCTGGCCACAGGTACCTGGCTCCTCTCTCGGCCTCGGTCTCCTTCTCTGTAAAATGGGGATAAACTCCTGACTCCTGGTGACCCCAAGCACAACGGAGCAAAGCTCCGTGCCCGAGATCGGCTGTGGGTAGCACTGCTGTGGCCCAGAGAGTTCCCCCTGGTTGATTTTCAAAAGGTCTTAGGTCTTGCTTCTAGTTGGGAAGCTCAGCTGGCGCCTGTTCAGCTTCAAAGAGACATGCACAAGGCTCCACTGACTGCACCCGGGGTACTGGCCGGAATCTAGCCGAGGCGACAGGAAGTCTAGCCCCAAGCCACCACTGCCCCCATCAAAGCAGGTTAGAAGAGATGGACACACCAATATTCCAGGAGGTGGCAAGTGTGGATGTGTGTGTGTGTGTGTGTGTGTGTGTGTGTGTGTGTGTGTGTGTGTTGAAAAGCCCACATCGGAAGCCAGCCCATCACATGGTCACTACCCTTCACTCCTAACTGATGACATCCCACTAAGAAGCAGGGGGGGTGGTCTACCCACCACACACACATCCATGCCCCTCCTCCCAGACTCCAGGAATTCCCGGAAAGGCAGCCAGGGTCTCAACCTCATGTAGAGGTGTGGAGAGCCAAGTTTCTCCCCCCTGGGACAGCCTAGCAGGACAGTGGGGGTGCGGGGAGGGGCTCCCCACTGGAAAGCAGGGCTGCGACTCTCTAAGACAAACCGGGGCTCAACCTCGACAGCTGGGTTTGTCTCTGGCTCCACACAAAGAATTGTCTGGAACCTTTCGGACAGAAAACACAATTTACCCCACCCACGGCCACATTTCCAGGGCCTTCCCCAGCCCTGCCCACTCCTCACCCACCCCCCGCTCATCACACACCTCGAAGCCTTGGGTAAAGGGCAGCAGTCAGCCAGGCAGTGGCTAGCAAAACGAGGTCCCGGACACCCCCTGCTGAGTCAACCAAGGCCCCCAGAAGTGCTGGTCAAGCCTGCTCCACAAAGCCTGCAGGCCAGGGATGAGGGCCGCCCTCACCCTCAAAACACCGGGTCCCTTGGAGGTGCTGGAGCAGTGGGATCGAGGGACTGGAGGGGGGCATCTTAGAAGTTTCCATCAGGAGGAGGCATGCCCAATGTCCCTGTGTCTGCAGACAGCCCTGGGGCCCCACAAGCAACACTTTCGCTGAAAGGAAAAAGTGAGCTGCGCCCGGGGCTCCTGGCCAACCGGCTGAGTCAGGAACGAAAAACTTCCCCCACCCAGAGGAGCTGGATGATTTCACACCCGGCACAGCTGGTAGCCCCGCCTGGGGGCCCAAGACACACACACACACACACACAGCACACGCAGGCACGCCTCCCTGCCCTCACTCGAATCCAGGGCCCCGTGGGCAGGAAAAGAAAGTCCTCCTCCCACACCCTGCACACCCCATCCAGCCCTGAGCCACCCAGCAGACATGGACACAGGCACACATGCAGACCAGAAGTCACCCGAATCACAGACACATGCACTCACAAGGTACACCCACCCGCACCACACCCTGAACCTCAGTGGGAAGCATGTGTATGTGTGTGTGAGCACGTGTGCATATGTGAGCATGCACACACACACACACACACAGAGAGAACATCCAACATTCAGAGAACACCTACTATGTGCCAAATACAATGCTAGGCACTTTGCTCATGCATTTTCCCTAACCCTGTAAAAGGAGTGCTCTTACTGTCTTACACATGGCGACACACAGCCCTGGGACGGGAACACGGGTATTTGCAATCACACGGGACCTGCTCAAACTGGGGTTTAATATCGGAACTCATTTCTCTTGAAGGCCACCTAACTTTGAATATGCCACACCATCTCCTCTCTCTCTCTCTCTCTCTCTCACACACACACACACACACACCAAGGAAAATAAACTCACAAAAGACACACCCCTTAAATTTAAGCCCACACAAATTCAAAGGTGCCGACCATGCCCCAGGACCAAGCCTGAGGCCCGAAGTGGCAGCCTCTAAAAATAAATCCTCGGACAGAAGCCCAAGGCAAGAAACAAGTGCGCAGACAACCACAAAACAGGAACATCCTGAGCAAAATACACACACACACACACACACACACACACACACACACACACACCACGTACCCAGCACCCACGTCACCCAGTGCTCCAAGAGACGCCCTGCATAGCTCATGTTGCCCCTACCCACACTCAGGGCAGCATCTCCGCCCACAGCCACAGTGGCTCTGCCCCCAGCTGTCCCCAGAGCTGCGGGCCCTCAGCCAACAGCCGGCCCCAAGCAACACTGGGCCAGGGGACACTGGGCCAGTGTCACAGCAGCTCGGGGATCCCAGGGAGGGGGACCGGTCTGAACTGGAAAAAGCTGGAGTCCTCTGACTAAAATATGCTCTGAATCCCTGCCGCCCTGCCCCTCATGCCTGGGGCCCAGAAGCAGCCTCCTCCCAATTGGTCTGTCATCTCCCTAAGGGGGTCCAAGCCAGAGCAAGCTAGTGCTTCTGGGGTATAAAGAGAGGTGCTGAAGGGGAAAGAGGCTCCCCTTATGCCCCACTCCCGCACAGAACTGGGCTCCTTCTCCCAGACGTGCCTCACCAAGTGCCAGGCCAACAGACGCCAACTGACTGTTTGCAGAGGGGAAACAGGTGAAGGCAGGGGCTTTCCCCAGGGAATGGGCACCCGCACACTCAAACCAGCGGGGGTCTGATGAACTGCCTCTCCTTCCTTCCTGTGGGGCCTCAATCACCGCTGAGCTAAGAGTCCAGTCTCATCCCCGCATGCTTTGGCAGCCCGCAGGTTGAGGTGCCAGGGTGCAGCCTCCAGGCCTGTGGTCACCTCTAGTCCCCTCACCTCCTCGTCCCTGCTCACACGGGCTAGGAAAGGGTCTATGAAGCAAAGGGTGGCGTGTCCGCTGGCCTCGATACAGCACTGGGGCACAGAGGCCACTGAGAAGCAAAGATGAGAGCCGTCCTTCCCTTCCAGAGAAAGCAGGCCTGTTCTGAGGCCTCACGCTTGATTCAGACCCACTGTCCGGTGGCTCGGTACACAAGAGTAGATTACCACACCTTTCTGCCCGCTGGGCTGCTAACTGCAAGGTTAGCCATTTGAACCTAGCAGCCGCTCTGCAGGGAGAAGACGAGGCTTTGTGCTCCCGGGAAGATGTGGTCTGCGAAACTCGGAGCAGTTAGTTCCGCCTGCCCTATAGGGTAGCTGCTATCAGTCAGGCTCAGCTCAGTGGGAGTGGATTTGGTTGGCTCTTTCTGAGAGGGCCGCTTTCTTCACTGGTTCTAAAGACACCGCTACCAAATTTACTGGGCCACATGGGCGACCAACTACCGCAGCCGTCACAAAAAAAAAGCCATAAGTGAGGCAGACTCAGTAGGCACACTGGAGAGATGTGACCACGGAGTGATGAAATCCCTTCACTGGGAACCCCTGGGAGTGGCTGCTGCCATGGCTGAACTCTTGGAAGATGCGGATGCCACGCTCTGGGCCACCCAGTGCTGGCAGCAAAGGCCAGCAGTCCAAGTGGCCCTGTACCATCACCACAGCAAGGGGAGACCGAGGACCCGGGCTCAGCCCAAGCCCCAGGGTATGGGCATGACTCTGCCCCCCACCCCCATCCTATCTGAGATGGAAGGTAAGTGTCCCTGACACCCCCCCACACACTGCTACACACACTCTCACCACCCAATCCACCTGTCCACCGCAACCACATTAAGAGCTATTTACTGGGACCACAAGAAGCCGGAACACAGTGTTGCCTTCCATCTATTAAGACAGGAAGGGCAAAAGAGAGAGGAGAGAATGCGCCGGGGGAAGAGAAGAGAGAGAGGAGAGTCAGGGGCTGGGAAGGTGGAGTGCAGGTTATAGAGCTGAGGGACCACTAGCTCCATCTCAAAGTCCCAGGCTGGAACCATCTCAGGAGACAGGAAGTTGGACACCGGATGGGAGGAGACCGAGGGAGGATCTGACTGGTCAAGAGCCAAGGGCACTGGTCTGGGTGACGGCGGATTAGAAGGATGACCTACAGCAGGAACCTAAGTTCCAGGCAGTTCAGGATCCAGCTCCAGAGTGCCCAGGTGCCAAGTCCACGTCCACCCTGACACCCTTGCTCAGGTACCACCCTCTGGCCTCTGGAAAGCAAAGACCAGCTCCCTGTCCATTTTTCTAGGGACCTTGAGACGTCGGCTCTCAGTTCAAGGCCCCCCTTCCTTTGCCTGAGAATGTCTTCTCGTTCTTCGTAACAGCTGTTCAAAGCCCCAGACTCCACCCTTGACAGTGAGCCTAGTTGCACGGAGGGGCCCCGATTCCACAACGGCCGTCATCCAGATGTGCGAGTCATGCTTTTGGAAAGCGCTGAGGAAAATCCCCAGCTGACTTGGATACAGATCCGCTCCCTGAGGCTTCCTCCTCGAAACAAAGCAGAGGTGCACACAGTGCTGCCGGCACATAGCCTGCCAGGAGGAGGGAACAAAGGGACGCGCCCATCAGATACAGGCCACCAGGAACACGTGGACCACAAGCGGGGTGCTCTGGGCCTGTGGCCTTCGGTCAGTTGTTTTGTGGTTCTGATGTTCCTGCGACACTCTTCCTCTGAGAAGCTGTTCAAAGGGCAGACTCCAGGGCCCTACCTACCCCTAAGACCCACCACCAGGCTGCCACTCTTCCAGACGACGGTGCTAGGAGCCATGGTGTCCGTATTTCCAATACCAGCAAGGTCACCCATGTCAGTGGCGTTTGCAGAATGAGATAGACAAGGAAGAAAGACCTGG